CCCCCGCGCCCACCCCCGACCCGCCCCAGCACGGCCAGGCTACCGGACCAGCAACCCAGAGTTTGTTGAATCTGACGTGACATGTTCGTACGAACCCTTTGTACGAACAAAAGTAAGAGAAATTTAGGATAAGAATACGAACATGTTCTTGCATGAGGCCCATTGCTTTTAATCGCAATTAGTACTGCATTACATGGGTTTTTATGTTTTGTTGTTATTTGAGATCTCAGTCAGTGGCAGTAGCAGATAGCTGTAGCACTACAGGTGCAGTTTGGGGCAACTTTTGCATAAATGAGACATTTCTTCCAGAATTACCATATAATGGGAAATTGACCGTGATAAAGGGTATTTACAATTTGAAGAATGTTTAGTAAAATAAAAATTATGGAATGAGTTTTGTGCCTAAAAATTGAGAAAAACAGATAGTTAAACAAAAGTTAAGAATTTGAGAACAAATAACATTTAAAAGTCATTTGAAAAGCTAAACTTGCGATCTGTGATCAGGCTCAGCTGTTTACAGAGTCACCACGTTACATCTAAACTAGTAAAAACAACATTCCTTTGGACCTAATATGTTGTTGGTTTTGTTCCTACATAGAGAAAAAGGGCAGGTAGCACAAAATAACCCTCTCTCCTTTATTGTAACAGTTCTTAGTGCAGAAAAACGTTTGACTGCAGCTGCCTGTAGTGTGATTTCACACCTGCAGAGAGTTTTACTTCTCTACAGGGGTTTCTCAAGAAAATAACTCTTCTCTGAGAGAAGGACTCTTTGGTTTCAGAGAGAACGAGTGCTGTTATCATGTAAAAGAACAGATCAACTGCGGCAGAAAAGCTACTGTTTCATAAAAAAAAAAACGCTTGATATAAAACAATCCTAAAGCACATGTGAGGGTAAAAACAGAGCAGGAAATCTTACTGGTGAGCTCGTCGGTCTTGAAGGGGATCTTGAGGCTCATGCTGCTGGTGCTGCGGTTGTAGCGGCTGCTCAGTTTGAAGGAGCGCCCGTCTCCTGGAGAGAAAGACGGAAGAACCACCGGAGTCCCTCTGCTCCGTCCTGGAACGACCTCCAGCAGACCCACGCAACCAAGGAGACGAACCTGAAGAGTACCTGAATAAAAACAAAGATATTTCTCAAATATCACTCTAATTCACTTCAATAAATGTGCCTGAGCAGGGCCGTGCTGCGTGTACCTGTGAGCGGTGAGGGTTTGCTCAGCGTGCTGTACTGGTTGTGGACGTACGGGGTGCTGTGGCGGGAGCTGAAAGCTGAGGAGGAGGCCAGCACCAGCTCCTCTTTGATCAGACAGGCCTTGGGATGATCCTCTGGYAGCTCCTGGAGCCTCTGCTCCAGAGAGCACCGGATCAGGTCCAGGCGTTGGGATGACTCACTCAGACCGCACTGAGCCTGCACAGAGAGTGACCGCAAGACGTCAGATTTACCTGTATGTCAGTTAAATACTGACAGGTGAGGAGTGGGCTTAACATGCAGCAGAACTACTAACAGTGAGGACTAAAAAACAGGTTGAAACCAGACAGAACAGGCCCAAACCATGACATCACCACCACCGTGCTTTACAGCTGGCTGAAGGTTGATAAAAGTGACATCRGTGTTTTCTTTTCTCTACAWAAAAMCACTTTTTATTTGAGTCTAAATTTGATCAACTTATTTGACTAAYGTATTTTTTGCAGCCAGCCAAATGTCTGGGTTTTAGGGGAGCAGGGTGTTTCTCTTTGCAGCGCGAGCATCAAGGATGCTGATCAGTGATGTGGAATCATAAGAAAACAATSCAGGGAATGAAAACAGCTGACTCTAATTTCAGATGATCATTTTGCTCCCCAAGTATTGGATCATTTTTACTCAATAAATAAATGACCACAGATTMTATTTTGGCTGTCTTAGTCTACTTGACAATGATTCAAGTCATTTTGATAAAAAGCAAGAGACAAAACTCATCTGACCTCAGCRATAGCTTTCTTATCCTGGACTTTTCCTGCCCCCAGCAGTCGCAGCATGTTCTTGGCTCCCTCGGCCATGGCGTGCTCCACGCGGTAGTGATGCCAGAGTTCCTCCACACGCAGCTCCACTCCACACAGATCCGGATTACCTGGGTGCARAAAGGTGTGAGATTTAGTCAACAGCATATGGCCATCAGGAGCGACATGCAGAGCAGAGATCTGGCTGCAGAAATAGAAAATAATATGAATAAACAGAACTACTAAAACAAATGTAAAGCTTTAACTTGGATGGAAAAAGAAACAGAGCATCCAGGAAGACTGTATTAAAATACATTGTACAAACTTTCTAAAATGACTCCGTAAAAAATAAATAACTTGTTTTTAGCAGCAGTAACAATCAAATAGTTTGAGCAGGCAATATAAAATWACTGATTTTATTTGAGAACTATTTTTGTATAATTGCATCTAGATGTCACTAAATCATCCATAGGACAGCTTTCAAGYAACATTAGCTTTAATCTAGCATTTACTGTATTTACTCATGTATAATACCAGAAATTTAACCCTAAAAACCATCCATAAAGTGGGGGGTAGTATTATACACGGGTTATTGATTATTAGATTTTTGTGCTTTTTAAGCTCAAAAAAATTATGATCGTATTATACAAGAATAAAAACAGTAGTTACATTAAAGTAAAAAAAAAAACAAGTCTATCTTTAAC